TGGAGTAGCAGGAACAGGTGAGAGCTGGGAGGGATGGCGGTCACCTCGTTTCTCCTTTTGGTCTCCCTCTTTTCTCCGTGGCGCCTCTGCAAAAACATTTTTGCATTTAACGGCGTTGCAAAGTCTCTGTGGCTGCACGGGGGAAGAAAGGAAGAGGCAGTTTTGTCAAAGTGTCGGACTAGTACCTGGGAGACCCAGGTTTGAATCCCCCCCCCCGCCATGAGAACTTGGTGGGTGACCTTGGGCCACTCACACGCTCTCCGTCTGTCCTACCTCGCAGGGTTGTTGGAGGATAAAGTATGCAGCCAGGTTTTGTGGAGACGGGAGCCCTGGGTGCTCTGCAGTAGCGGAAGCTGGCGGTTCTGGTAAAGCTTTGTAACGAGATGCATACACAGTGTGGTTCCGCAACACATTCCAGGAGAGCATCGGGGTCTGTTACAACCCAAACTCTTGCGATGCCGGCTTAAAGCAATTTTTCTTCATTCTGGAGAAGAGGAGGCGGGGGGGGGGGCGCATGTTTACTAAGGTGCAGTATTGGAAAGGGCTGTCGCTTCGAAGAGGGCAGGGAGCCATTCCTGTTGGCAGCAGAGGACGGGACTCGCAATAATGGGTTTAAATTAAGGGCGGGAAAGTACCACCTGGTTAGGAAAAATATTATTATAGTAAGAGTTGTGCAGCAGTGGAATCAGCTGCCTAAGGAGGTGGTGAGCTCCCCCTCCCTGGCAGTCTCCAGGCAACAGCTGCACAAACACTTGTCAGGGATGCTCTAGGCCAGTGGTGGCGAACCTATGGCACGGGTGCCAGTGGTGGCACTCAGAGCCCTCTCTGTGGGCATGCATGCCATCGCCCCAGCCAGGCCCAGACCATCATTAAAGTGTCGAATTCTCTGCCAAATAATTTTAAGTAAATGAAAGCATTTGGGATTGCTTTCCTTTGTTTGGATCATCTTACGTTAATGTATGAGTTGTTTTTTTCTAAAGTAAAACCTCAGTATTCAGGTTAAATGGCCGTGTTGGCACTTTGTGATAAATAAGTGGGTTTTGGGTCGCAGTCTGGGCACTCGGTCTCTAAAAGGTTCGCCATCACTGCTCTAGGCTGATCCTGCATTGAGAAGGGGGTTGGACTAGATGGCCTTTGTATCCCTTTCCAGCTCTCTGTGTTTTTTGCAGGCCTTGTCCAGGAAATCTTATCTCTGCAATAAACCTATTAATTTGTGAGATTCCCCAAGACTGTTTCAAACTTCAAGAATGTAAGAGTATCTGTGCTAGGCTGGACCAGTCTAAATGGAGCGTCTGGTTTGATATGTTGGCCAATCAGGTACCCCTGACAGGTTTATAGGGAGGGCAGGTAGGTAAAGGTCTTTCCCTGGCTGTTGCCCTCGGTGCTGGGTTCAGAAGTTGACAGTTTATGTTTGGTCATTGTGGCTAATAGTCTAGTCATTGAGGACCCTCTCTTCCAAGAATTTGTCTGATCCTCTTTTAAAGCCAAGTAAGCCTTTACGACATCTGGTTTCAGTGTGTTCTACAGGTCAGTTACTCTTAGATTGAAAAATTATTCCTGCAACTACTCTGCCTCACTTTACAAAACTTTGATAATTATAAGGTGTTGTTGTCTTGTAATAACAATTTAAATGACAATATAACAGTGTGTGGTGGGTATGCTTCCTCTAAAATGTGGAGTCTTGTGAGCAAAAATTCTACTTTATGAGCTACTGGTATTGAAGTTGTGAGCGAGCAAATTTAAATACTGCATAAATTGGTTTTCTCTGGAGCCAACCTTCCTGAGCTAAGACAAAAATGTGTGAGCCAGAAGCTTAAAAAAAGAGCTAGCTGTCAGGACCCACAGCTAAGCAACGAAGTACACGCTTCCAGGAAGGTTTTACTTTTATTGAAAAGCCATAGATGCGATAACATGAGCACTGTTAGGAATGGCGGGATACCTGTGCGCATAATAGGATATAGCGCATTCATATGCGTCCCCCCTAGCAATAACCAATTAGGTGTGCTCCCGCGCGCGGGATACTGTTGGACTCTCTAACGGTTGCAAAGCTGGGAACGGCGGGATACCTGTGCGCATAACAGGATATAGGGCATTCGTATGCGCCCCTCCCTAGCAATCACCAATTAGGTGTGCTCCCGCGCGCGGGATACTGTTGGGCTCTCTAACGGTTGCGAAGCTGGGAACGGAGAAGCTCCCACGGAGGATAGACACCACATTCTCCACCAGTACAACATCAAAGATAAGTGCTACAGCTCTGAAGCAATTAAGCGCATGGGAAGGAATGCAAAGCAATTAGAAAACAACTCCACGCTAACGCTCACACTAACTCAGCTTAGAGGGAACACTGGTGGGTAGCCGTGTTGGTCTGAAGCAGCAGAACAAAGTTTGAGTCCAGTTGGGGCACCTTTAAGGCCAACAAAGGCGTGTTCAAGGTGAGCTTTTGTGTGCACACTTCATTGTATCTGAGGAAGTGTGCGAGCACACGAAAGCTCACCACTTGAATAAAGCTTTGTTGGTTTTAAAGATGCCAGTGGCCTCAAACTTTCTTGTAATATAACAGTTGTTACCTGTTACTAATATGGTGTGTGGTTGATGTTCAAAGCACTTCACATCAATTACCTTGTGTGAGGCAAAGCGCCCCTGGTTTCAGTTAACATGAATGGGAGCGGCCTTGTTCCATCCTACCGGTGTTACTAATTGAAGGCCTACATGTAGCCCTTCCTACCTGTAGGAGCTGCGGTGGCTCAAGTGGTTAAGACGCTGAATTGCAGGCTGTGGAAGGTCGGTAGTTCAGCAGTTCGAGACCCGGGTGCCGCATGACGGAGTGAGCTCCCGTCTCTAGTTCCAGCTCCTGCCAACCTAGCAGTTCGAAAGCAAGAAAATTGCAAGTAGATAAATAGGTACCACTTCGGTGGGAAGGTAACAGCTGGCTCTTCGGCTTTGAAACGGAGATGAGCACCGCAACCCTAGAATCGGATTCGACTGGCTTTCGAGCAAGGGAGACCTTTACCTTTATGTAGCCCTTATCATCTTCAAGGCCAAAACTGGAGAAGTGCTAATTAGTTCCACATGAGAAACTGTGGCCCACAGGGTGGGAGGAGGGAGGTCAGGAATGATGAGGTAATTTTCTGGAGGGTGACAGCAAGACTATGTGCTGATTGGATGTCATCACTATGCGCTGATTGGATGTCATCACTATGCGCTGATTGGATGTCATCACTATGCGCTGATTGGATGTCATCACTATGCGCTGATTGGATGTCATCATCACCTGATGCTGCTTGGCCAGAAAAACTATAATTGAGCTAAGAACCTGTCTATACAGGACGGGCAAGATATAATTAGAAAATAATATATAAATAAATAAATACATAACTTGGAAAAGGCTAGCTTGAATTCTGGGGGACTGAAGGCCTGAACTGTGACACGCTTATGTTGTAATAGATAGCAGTGTGGAGAATGTAAAAGCTGTGGCCTTTGAATCTGGGACTTAAGGTTGTGCCATCTAATGCAAGTCTTGGAAGTGTGTTAGATAGTTTAAGATAGGGTTTTTTTCCCTGCTGTATGACTTTAGAGCATCGTGTTGCTAGTAGAATAAATCTTTGGATAGGAAACATCATAATATTTTAATAGAATAAAGTTAAGGTTTGCTTACTTGGGCGCAACGGCCTTGGGGACCCATGGGGTTCAGCTCTGGACTCCTTGACACCTTGTAATCCCCCAAACAGCCCTGCAAGGTCGGCCAGTAGTTTCTCCATCCTATGACAAATGGAAAGCTAAAAGAGGGGATGGGGGGGGATGTCCTTGTTTACAGTTTGCCTTCTTAGTTGTTATGTTTTTCCAGTTTTCAAAGTGATTTTATTGTGGGTGCTGACATCTTGTTGTGGGGGAGTAATATTTCCAGCATACAAATGCTTCCCTACGGGTGGTGATTAACTTGGCATATGGATGTTTACCAGCTGGGGTTAGAACAAAGGGACTGAATGGAGGCAGGATTTCTGGAGAGAGGGGTTTCGTAGGTTAGAACATAAGAAGAGCCCTGCTGGGTCAGACCAGTGGTCTATTTAGTCCAGCATCCTGTCTCACACAGGGGCCAACCAGTTCCTCTGGAGGGCCAACAACAGGGCAGAGAGGCCGAGGCCTTCCCCTCATAAGAACATCAGAAGAGCCCTGCTGGATCAGACCAGTGAGGGTCCATCTAGTCCAGCATCCTGTCTCACGCAGTGGCCTCAACCAGTTCCTCTGGAGGGCCAATAACAGGGCAGAGAGGCCGAGGCCTTCCCCTCATAAGAACATCAGAAGAGCCCTGCTGGATCAGACCAGTGAGGGTCCATCTAGTCCAGCATCCTGTCTCACACAGCAGCCTCAACCAGTTCCTCTGGAGGGCCAACAACAGGGCAGAGAGGCCGAGGCCTTCCCCTCATAAGAACACAAAAAGAGCCCTGCTGGGTCAGACCAGTGAGGGTCCATCTAGTCCAGCATCCTGTCTCACACAGCAGCCTCAACCAGTTCCTCTGGAGGGCCAACAACAGGGCATAGAGGCTGAGGCCTTCCCCAGATAAGAACGTAAGAAGAGCCCTGCTGGATCAGACCACTGGTCCCTCTAGTTTAACATCCTGTCTCACAACCCTGGCCAACCAGTTCCTCTGGAGGGCCAACAACAGGGCAGAGAGGTTCTGCCCCTCATGTTATCTCCTGGCTCTGGGATTCAGAGGTTCAGTGTCTCTGAATGTGGAGATTTCCCTCATTAGAATGCCATCAGTATTAATCCTTGGGTAGCGCCCCTGAAGAATTAGGTATAACTGAGCCAGAAACTCCTGAGCTGTCTAGAACTTCTAAAATGCTCAGCTCTAGTTGTGCTAGACTGACCTGTGATTCCTGTGGAGTGTCGGCAGCTGTCAGTCGCTCAGACCTCTGCAATCCCGGTGACCTGGGAAGGTGAGTCAAGTCGTTTTTAAGCCTGTTGCCTTGCGTAACTCTGTCACTCCATGTTTCTCTAGGTTTCAAGTGGGAAAATGAGCAGGAATTTTCAGGAGGCCACGGCAGCCGCTAAGGAGGAGTTTGTGGCGTTCTTCCCCCAAGTTGTCAGGGATCTGACCGAAGATGAGCTCCATAGTCCAGAAGTAGCCGATGCCGTTGGCAGACTGAAAGAAGTGAGTACTGAAGATGGGGACGTAACAGACACCAGTGCGATGGGGTGGTTTCTTGAGTCAGGCTAGGCCTGTGAGACCTGGGTTCAAATTCCTGCATGTTATGGGAAAAACTAACTGGGAATGTCATTTCTTGTCATTCTCCCCCACCTCACAGGGTTGTTGTGATGACAAAATGTATGCTGCCCTAAGCATGCAAGATGGGGATGGGACTGAAAAAGTAATAAGTAAACGTGGAGTATTAGGATTTATGGCACTGGGTGCTCTCTTGAGAGCCAGTTCAGTGTAGTAGTTAGGAGTGTAGGCTCTGGGGGAACTGGGTTTGATTCCCCACTCCTCCATATGCAGATGCTGGGTGACCTTGGGCAAGCCACAGTTCTCTCAGAGCTGTTCTCTCAAGGGTAGTTCTCTCAGAGCTCTCTCAGCCCCGCCTACCTCACAGGGTGTCTGTTGTGGGGAGGGGAAGGGAAAGGAGACTGTAAGCCACTCTGAGACTCCCAAGTGAAGGGCGGGGTATAATTCCAATCTCTTCTTCTTCTCTCAATCAAGGGTCCCCAGCCTTTTTGAGCCTGCGGACCCCTTCGGAATTCTGAAACTGTGTGGTGGGCGCAGCCACAAAATGGCTGCCATAAAATGGCTGCTGTAGGAAGTGGAGCCAGCGACAAAATGGTTGCTCCGGATTCCCTTTCAGTCACACAGTGAAGATCCTCGTGCTGTGGTGGCAGCTGCTGCAAAAGCAATGTTTTTTGCCATCTGCTCAGCCAATCAGAAGCCTGGCTGGGCAAAAGCCCCACCTGGCCCTGCCCACTTCCTAAAGATACTTGGTGGGCACCAGAAAAGGTGTTGGTGGTTGCCATGGTGCCCACGGGCACCATGTTGGGGACCCCTAAAAATCTTTGGTCCTTCAGGTTTTGCTTGGTGGGCTCACGTAGCAGCAGCAAAGCTTGAGGTTGGGCACCTAGAGGATGCTAGAACAGATGTTTTGGGGGGTGTGAGAACAGCAAAGGGGCATCAAATGCAACCTTGTCTTTCCAGCAGTCGCCAACTAGTCACCTTTTGGGATTCCGCAAGGATGGATGTGGAGGTGATGATTCTTTTCCCCCAGCCCTGTTATTCAAGCTGCCTTTGGCTTTGCTGCTGGAGCTAAATGCCTGCAGGTCTAAAAGCGCGATTTGGAGAAAAGTCAGGTTGGATTAGAGGAGGTGGCCTCAATCCATAATAAGTGGGGTTTTGAAAGAGCCTCCAGGTTGTACAAGGAAGCTGCGGTGGCTCAAGTGGTTAAGATGCTGAACTGCAGGCTGTGGAAGATCAGTAGTTCAGCAGTTCGAGACCCGAGTGTACCGCATGACGGAGTGAGCTCCCATCTCCAGTTCCAGCTCCTGCCAACCTAGCAGTTCGAAAGCAAGAAATTGCAAGTAGATCAATAGGTACTACTTCGGTGGGAAGGTAACAGCGTTCCGTGCGCCTTGGTGTTTAGTCATGCTGGCCACATGATTACGGAAACGTCTTCGGACAGCGCTGGCTCTTTGGCTTTGAAACGGAGATGAGCACCGCAACCCTAGAGTCGGATTTGACTGGCTTTCGAGCAAGGGAACCTTTACCTTTACCAAGTTGTACAAGAGGGGGCTGCTTGGGGTGGGATTTTTAGCTGAAAAGGGTCACGCTGCCAAACGTGTCTCTTTTCTCCCCTCTTCCCCATAGGTCATAGAATACAATGCTGTAGGTGGGAAATACAATCGGGGTCTGACCGTTATGGCCGCCTTCCGTGAGCTGGCTGGGCCAGGCCAGCAGGATCAGAAGAGCTTCCAGAGGGCTCTGGTTGTCGGCTGGTGCATCGAGCTGGTAAGTTGTCTTTTGGCATTCTTCTTTTTTGTTAGCGGAGGGCTCCAGGCGTATTGACTTGGGCGGCAGCCAGGAACGGAACAGAGCCCAAGGCCGGAAACAGGTCTGTGCAGAATGTAGACTTGTGGTGGGGGGACGGGGGGGGACTTAAAATCTGCAAAGTTAGTAGCTGAGCCATTGCATTTGCTTGCGTTGCTTCTTCAAACTGCAGGGTGTTATACAAAGTGTGGCAAACCCAGCTGTCTTCCCTTCTTTTGTGTTGAAACAGTGAGATGAGCTCTTTTTGTAAAGACCATGTTGCAAGGAAGTCTACAGAAGCCGCTAACCTACCCACCCGGTGTTAGTAGCATTTTCACAGTTTGAAAGAGAGGGGAAAAGAACCTGGGCTCTTAACTGTTTTGCAAACGCTTTTATAAAAAAAACAAGCGAAGAAGGAGAAGAAAAGAAGAAGAACTACTACTACTACTACTTAAGGCAGTGTGTGTAGTATAGCCAGGAGATCCTAAGATTGTCTGGCAGCAAAAAGTTCTAGCTCTTTTAGCGTTATGCGGCACTGGGTGGTGAGCTAGACTTGTTTTTAACACTGTGTGTCAGAGAATCACGGATATAGACGTGTAATATAATGTAACTCCTGCAAGTAAATGACTAAAGAATATTAAAACCACATTTATTTATCCGCTCTTTAGAACTACCTCTCAAAGTACATCCAATATCAAAAGATCTTATAGTTTCAGTATGAATATAATGCATTCAGCTTGTAGCATAAACCATCAGTTTCAACTTGTTGCTTGAAAGCATATCAAACAGGAATAGGGCTACATTTCATTCTCACTGCAATGCTGAATATATGTTGTAACATAAATTCCCAAGGCCTCTGTGTAACTCAGTTTCAGCTAGTTGCTTGAAAGCATATCAGATGGCAGTGAAATTGTATCTCATTCTCTCCACAATGTTGAATATCTGTTGTAATTTCAATCTCTAGAATCTCTGTATACGAGCTTTCCAAATGAGACGGTCCAACAATTAAGCTCTGTATTTACAATTCCAGCCTGATGGATTCACTAGCTCCTTTCCATTTTGGTTTTTTCCTGCAAAGGTACATTCAGATGTGCAAAATTCCATCGGAAGTGCTACAGCCCAGCTCTATTTAATGGCTAGTTTTTACCCCTCTGTTCAGTATTCCCTGTTTGACTCCCAAAATGGATTCCAAATCACACACAGATGAGTTAAAAATAAAATGAAAACCGCTCTCAAGTTACACACACTCTCAAGTTTACACATACACGTAAACTGGGCTTTAGTCCTTTGGTATGAGATGCCTGTGCAGTAGCTATAATCGCAAAGGGGTGAAGGAGGCAGCACTCTGCACATGGTCAGAGGTGGCAATGCCGTTGGCCAGGACTGTGCTTTGGCACTGGGGATGGAGTCCAGAGCTGAGCAAGCTCATCTGAGCCTTGGGTGGCTGGGCTTCGTACTGATACTTCAGGTAGCTATGCTTATATTTCAGGTAAACTGGCTCAGGCTTATATTGCAGGTACATTTTAAGGTAACAAGGCTAATTGTCTGACACAGCTTTTATTGAGACCCAGAAAGCAGCCCTCTGCTAAATTTTGAAAAATAGACTACAGGTCTATTTTTGAAATTGCTGAGTCGGGTTAGAACGGATAAAAGGAAGTCCTTCTTCACCCCAAGGGTGATTGACACATGGAATTCACTGCCACAGGAGGTGGTGGCAGCTACAAGCATGGACGGCTTCACGAGGGAATCAGATAATATGGAGCAGAGGACCATCAGTGGCTATTAGCCACAAGGTACAGATAGGAACTCTTGGTCTGGGGCAAGTGATGCTCTGTATTCTTGGTGCTTGGGGGGGGGGCAACAGTGGGAGGGCTTCTAGTGTCCTGGCCAGTGTTCCCTCTAGGCTGAGTTAGTGTGAGCTAGCTCACAGTTTTTTAGCCTCTAGCTCACACGTTTTTGTCTTAGCTTAGGGAGGATGGCTCCAGAGCAAACTAATTGATGCAGTAGCCAAATTGCTCGCTCACAACTTTAGTGCCGGTAGCTCACAGAGTAGAATTTTTGCTCACAGGACTCCACAGCTTAGAGGGAGCATTGCTCCTGGCCCTGCTGATGGACCTCCTGATGGCACCTGGTGTTTTTGGCCACTGTGTGACAGAGTGTTGGACTGGATGGGCCATTGGCCTGATCCAACATTGGCTTCTCTTATGTTCTTTGGACCAAAAGAGTAGAAAACGCTTACAAGTTGAAACAAAATGTTTACATGTATGTCTGCTGAGCAGTTTCATTCCAGAAAAATATGCACCACCTTTGATCTTTCAGACTACTTAAAGCAGGATAGAATTGTGCTTACCTTCTGAACAAGACATCTGTGCATGTCTGAGGATTGCAATATTTTTAATTTTGTATTTTAATTTAATTAATTTGATTATTTATTTAGCAACAGAGTGTAGAGACACCAGCTTCAGACTTGGCTACCTGGAGTCTCCTTTTATAGCAATAAAAGTCCAGTCTGTTTATAGAATCTCACTGGTTGTGTCCTTTATTGGCTGTTGGCACACCAGGTAACAAGCCCGTTTGGCTAACAGCCCTGGACGCCTTCTGCATGGTGCAGCGTTTGAGAAATTGGCCTGTTTGATTAGGAGACTCCCATTTATTTTTGCTGCAGCAGACTTGTGGCTACCCTCTCTGAACTATTTCCTTTCTAGGCTGATCATTACCTTTCTGTTGAGCGTCTCAAGCACTTTTAATGGACAGCACAGCACATTAAGGTTTTAAACAAAGTAAGCAAATTAGCAAGGAGACTCAAACCGGCTCAGGCTCCCGTGAGCTGCCTCCCAGGTTCTAGGCCTGTTATTTATGTCTCTTTTGCCAGAGATCCTCTGGGAGCTGGGTTAGAAATATGCACACAGGCAGCTGCTGGTGTGGCCTCGGATCAGTCACAAGCTCTCTCACAGCTGTTCTCTCAAGGGCAGTTCCGTCAGAGCTCTCTCAGCCCCACCTGCCTCACAGGGTGTCTTTTGTGGGGAGGAGGAGGGGAAGGCGATTGTGAGCCGCTCTGAGACTCCTTCGGGTAGTGAAAGGTGGGGTATAAATCCAATCACCTCTTCCGGCAGCTGCATGTGGAGGAGTGGGGAATCAAACCCGGTTCTCCCAGATTAGTCTGTGCTCTTAACCACTACACCAAACTGATCTCAGCTGATACGGATCAGTTTCCCGGAGGAAACGGCTGCTTTGGAAAAGCGGACTCTATGGCACCTCCCCAGGCTCCACCCCTCAAATTTCCCAACCCAGAGCTACCAACCCTAGCTCTAGGCTACAAAACCTTATGTGGGAATAAAAAGCATGCACTAGTCTTCCCGGTAACATTTCTAGGGTTTGGAAACACAACCTGCTGATGTTTATATACCCAAAGAGACAAGCCACAGAAAGGTGCATCTCCTATGGATGTACGCTCCGTGCATCTGCTGAAGCATGTTCTGGCTTATCAAAGCGCACACTGGAATAAATGTTCTTCGTCTTTAGGGTGCTGCCGGAGTCTTATTTAATTTTGCTGCCACAGACTAACATGGCTCCCCCTCTGGAATGACTATTGCCCTATTAATTCAATAATGGTAGATGTGTTAACGTTTGTTGCACCAAAATTGTTATATAGCAATGGATAATTGTGCTCGTATGCATGAACTACCCCCCCAATTCTGTCCTGTTAACCCTTACTTCTCCTTCTAGTCCCTTCGTTCCAGTGATGCTATTGCCATTTAGATTGTAGGCTCCTTGGGGCAGGGAGCTCTCTGTTTTTCTCTCTTCCTGTGCTGTAAAGTACCATGTATGTGTATAAGCATTATTCCTGTATAATGCTAACATTGGTGCCGATGTCTCTGGTTTGGCTTCAGCTGCAGGCTTTTTTCCTGGTGGCAGACGACATCATGGACTCTTCACTCACACGCCGGGGCCACCCCTGCTGGTACAAAAAGGTAAATGAGCTGAGGGCAGAGGGGAAGGGAATGGCGCTGGGGAGATATCTCCAGGGGCCAGCTAGGAGTCTGGGATTTCTCCAGCTTTGGACTTGAGCTCTGAAGCCACAGAGCAGTGGGCAGTTCCCCGTGGGGGATGGCTTCTGTTTGTTGTTGATCTTCGAGGATGGGGTGGAACACCCAAATAATCAGCAATTAAGGGAACATGTCCAAGATGAGACAGCAGAGGAGAGGAACAAGGATGATCGGGGGCCTGGAGACCAAGCCCAATGAGGAAAGGCGGGGGGACTTGGGAATGTTCAGTCTGGAGAAGAAGAGGTTGAGGGGGGAGGACATGATGGGTGTCTTGAAGTATTTGAAGGGCTGTCACTGAGAGGAAGGCAGGGAGCTGTTCCCGTTGGCAGCAGAGGAGAGGACTCGCAAGAACTGTGGAACTGGTGGCTGGTGGACATAACTATGACCACAAGCATAGATGGTTCTAAAAAGGGATTAGACAGAGTCATGGAGGAGAGGTCCATCAGTGGCTCCTAGCCATGGTAAAGGGAACCTCCACATCCAGAGCCAGTTTGGTGTAGTGGCTAAGTGTGCGGACTCTGATCTGGAAGAACCAGGCTTGATTCCCCACTCCTCCACTTGCAGCTGCTGGATGACCTTGGGCAAGGCATAGTTCCGTCAGAGCTGTTCTCTCAGGAGCAGTCCTCGAAAGAGCTCTCCCAGCCCCGCCTACATCACAGGGTGTCTGTTGTGGGGAGGGGAAGGGAAAAGAGTTTGTAAGTCACTCAGACTCCAAGTGAAGGGCGGGGTATAAATCCAATCTCTTCTTCTTCTTGGATCCCAGAGCCAGGAGGCAGCATCAGAGGAAGGCCGCAGCCTCTACTCCGTGTTGCTGGCCTTCTGGGGCAACTGGTTGGCCACCCTGTGAGACAGGATGCTGGACCAGATGGACCCTTGGTCTGATCTGGCGGGGCTCTTCTCATTTGCTGGTTGTCCTGTCTCCCCCTTAGGAAGGAATTGGCTTGGATGCCGTGAACGATTCTTTCTTGATCGAGGCCAGCATCTACCGGCTCCTGAAGCGGTACTGCCGGGGCCAGCCGTTCTACCTCAACCTGTTGGAACTGTTTCTCCAGGTGGGCTCAGGTCAAGTCGGCCGCCCTTTCTTCCCTGCTGTCTTTGATGGAAGGGCTTTGGCCTCTTAACAATCTGCTGTGGAGATACCCTCTTTTCCTACGTTGCAGGGGGAGGGATCAGAGATTCTGGGTCGCTATCGGTGAGGGCAGGCAGGAGAGGCAAATTCTGTTTCTAGCCCACAAATGCTCCAGCTTTGGACCTAAAATGGCAGGCCGTAGTCTTCTGAGCAAAAGGCCGGGTTCTGGGGGGCGGCCACGCTTTATTTGTGAAGGAAGACCATGTGGGAGGCACTAGTTCAAAAGTAATGGATAAACCGTAGCTTGCACATTAGAGATGCAAGAGCCTGGTATAGTCAGACTACAAGCTGGGGGACCTGGGTTCAAAACCCCGCTCATCCATGGAGACCACTGGATGACCTTGGGCACATTCGCGGCCTAAATTCTCCATAAATGGTGTTTGTGATCCATGACTTTTCCTCACTTTCTTGAATTCTCTCCTCCACCCTTCAGACTTCGTACCAGACTGAGTTAGGCCAGGCTTTGGACCTTATGACTGCACCCCAAACCCAGGTGGACCTCAACCGCTTCACGGAACAGAGATGAGAGGCAATTCCTTGGCGAAAGAGCAAGCTGGTAACCTCTGTTTCTTATGTGGCAAAACGAGCATTGCTGGGCCCCGAAAGTGTCACTAAGAAGAATCTGAGGGTGCAAAGATAGATGTAAATGTGATTAAAAACCCCAAGGTTTTCTGCATGTGGTTGACAGGTTTAATCCAGGGGTCCCCAACATGGCGCCTGTGGGCAGCCTGGAGCCCACTGAGCGTTTTTAGAAAGTGGGTGGGGCCAAATGGGACTTCTGCCCAGCAAGGCTGCCTTCTGATTGGCCGTTGGAGATTTGATTGGCTGTGCAGAGTTTTAAAAACCTCGCTTTGGCAGCAGCGGCCACCGTAGCACAAGGATCTTCACTGTGTGACTGAAGGTAAGCTGTGGTGGCCATTTTGTGGCTGGCTCCACCTTCTGCAGCAGCCATTTTGTGGCTTGGCCCACCACATTATGTCATAATTCTAACGGTGCCCAGAGGCTCAAAAAGGTTGGGGCCCCGCCCTGACCTGGATAGCCCAGGCAAGCCTGATCTCGTCAGATCTCGGAAGCTAAGCTGGGTCGACTCCGTCAAGTACTTGGATGGGAGACCTCCTTGGAATACCAGCAGTCGGGAGGTGGGGGCAGGCTTTATTCAGCCACGCCTCTGAATATTCTCCAGGCCCCCAGTCACCAGAGGTCGCCGTGAGTTTCAGATGCGCACACACATGCACGCACATATGAAAAACACACAAGAAAGAAAAAAGGGTTAGGGCCCCTTTGGTGTAATTGATTGTGACCAGCTTAAAAAGGGCTTCTAGTAAATTGATCCTCAGATTTAGGAATAAAAAGAATTAATACGAGCAGGGCTTTTTTTGTAGAAAAAGCCCAGCAGGAACTCATTAGCATAATAGGCCACACCCTAACACCAAAGCTCATTAGCATATTAGGCCACACCCACATGTTACCAGAAGTGTGGTCATCCAGCCACACCCACCTTTTGCTTCTTATTCTGTTTACCTTGTTTGTTGTCAAAACCCAGGGCCTTTTTTTGTAGCAGGGACTCCTTTGCATGTTAGGCCACACACCCCTAATGTAGCCAATCCTAATGAGTTTCTGCTGTTGGGTGTGGCCTGTTATGCTAATGAGTTCCTGCTGGGTGTGGCCAACTCAGGAGCCAGCCGGAACTCCGTTCCTGCCCAAAAATAGCCCTGAATACGAGTAAGTACTTTAGTTGCAAATAGCATGCATTATTCTTTTCTCTTACGCACTCTTCTAAGGTGGATCGAGATGGGTAGCCACATTAGTCTGTCTGAAGAAGTGAGCAGCGACTCATAGAAACTCATCCCCAGCCACAAATTTTGTTAGTCTTTAAGATGCTCCTGGACTCTTAGTCTTTTCTTCTAAGACGGTCATACTTATGAGAAGAGGCCCCGTCTCAGAAGATGTATTTCTTCCAGGGAGAGAAAGAGAGAGAATGCCTCTTCAAAGAATGCCCATGGAGTCAACATTTAGAAACATTCCATCCTGGGTGAAGTAGATGAGGGAAGGCCTCAGACGATGCTGGCCTCCTCTAAAAGCAAAATATGTGGGGGATTTTTAAACCGTGATAGGGTTTTCTCACACAAACTGATGCAGATTTAATTGACTGATCTACACAACTCCCTTTCCTAGATTACTACCTAAAAAACACTCGCCACAGAAACATTTTTGAGCCTTTGTTAAACAAATATTGTTTTCCTTCTAGAAGCCGACAGATAAACTCCATGTTGTTGCTGGCTGAGATTGTGAAGCAATCCAGCTGTAGTGTTAGGAGAGTCTAGTAACAAATAAATATACGCTGCAAAAACCTTAAGATAAGCAATAACATTCAATATATACAGATTCCTAACTACCAAACAATTTTGTTTAGTTAGGAATCTGTATGTATTGAATGCTATTGCTTATTGAATGTAATGAATATTTATACCTGACTAGGATGAAATAATGATACACTATTGTAACGATTCCATGTTTTACTGTGTGTGTGTGTGTTTAAAAGTTGGTTGGCATGGCTGTGTGGGACAAACTAGAATGCTGAAATAGGCAAGTTGTGTGATTGGTGAGTGACAGAGAGGGGGAGGGGTTTTGGAATGGATGCTGTGTGGAGGATTTGAATGTCTATCAGGAGTGACTCTGAGAGTTTTTTTGATGACAGTTGATGAAGACAGTTAGGCAGTCTGAAAAAGTATGGTATGAGAGAGAGTTAAGTTGAGTGCGGTCTCTGAGTGAAGGAGACTCAATCCCTGTGTGGGAAAGATTTGGTTCTATGTAGTAAAGGAGTTAAACAGTCTGTTCATTTAAAGTCTGATGAGAGAGAAGACTTTTGTGTGTTATGGAAAGTTAAAGCATAAACAGTAACCATATATGGCATAAGGAAATATTTGTTACAGAGTGACATGCTCAGATCCCTGTCAGCCAAAGAGCAGACCTTATGTGAGACATAAAGCAAGAGTTAAGAATATTCACAGTACCAGTTACCTCGTACTACTATATTATTTACAAGTTATTTGAATAAATATACTTTATTTCAAGATACAAGTTCTGAAAGAAATCCTTTCTCAGGACCACATAGTTCCTCGAGACGCCTAGACCCAGGGCTACAATACCAACCCAGAAGAAGAAATATATTAGTATAAAGGTGTGGAAAGCCTTAAATTTTCCTGGTGGCGGCGAGATTACCCTGAGAGCAATACATAAAGAACTTTTAAAGTAAAACTAGACCTCCCCAAATAAGAGGGCGTCACAACTATGCACTTTACTGAGTGATGACCATAAATAGAATACATTAGTTTGCTAGAAGGTTTTTGCAGTCTATATTTATTTGTTACTAGGCTGAGAATGTGAGGCAGACGGGGGCGAGGGTTGGGCAAGATGTACCCTGCGTTTGGGAGAACAGAAACTTTGTTCCAAGAGCACCAAAATGAATACCTTTTAAGAAAATGCTCTGTTATTAGCCAACGAAGCTCCCCTGCCCACTCTCCCATCTCAAAGCCAGGTTAAATTAAATTAAATGGGGGGCCACTGAGAACCCAAAGTAGTCCTGGGGTGTTTCATGTTTCTTGGGCCTGCTGGAATGCTTGGCTTGTCCTGTCCAGTTGTGTGCAGCTGGAATAGATAAATGACTCCAAGCTAGAAAGTATGTGCTTGATGGTTAGTGCTCACCAGAATTGTGGATACCTTCCCTCCCTGGTAGGTACAAGACGATTGTTAAATACAAGACGGCATTCTATTCCTTCTACCTACCAGTGGCTGCTGCGATGTACATGGTGAGTGGGGGGGGGGGCTTATTTTACTTACTACCTTCATACCCTACCCTTCTCCCCAATGAGGACCCAAAGTTGCTTCTATCACCCTCCTCTCCTCTGTTTTATCTTCACGACAACCCTGTGAGTTAGGCTAGACCAGGGGTGGCCAAACTGCAGCTTGGGAGCCACATGTGGCTTTTTCACACACATTGTGTTGCTCCCGGCAGGGCAGCTGGGGAAGCGATGGAGAGGCATGCTTTTTCTCCCTCCCTCCTGTCCATTTGCTTTCTTTGTTTCTCTCTCTCTTTCCACCTCTTTCAGTCTTTCTTTCCACCTCTCTTTCTCTCTCTCTCTTAAACAAAAAAATATCATTAGCAAACAAATATCATTGGACAAATAAATATCATTATCAATATCTGTTTTTTACCCCTTTTTTTGGCAGTCTCATTTAATGTTAAAAAAGCAAATTTGCATATTTTAAAATAAAAATGTGTGTGCAATATTTGTTCATGTTTTGCGGCTCTCAAACATCTGGCATTTATTCTGTGTGGCTCTTAACGCTGAGCAAGTCTGGCTACCCCTGGGCTAGACTGAGAGTATGTGACTGGTCCAAGGTAGGCTTGCCAAGTCCCCCCGGGGGAGGGGCGGGGAAATTCCCGCCCCAGAGGCCTGTTCCCCACCGCTGGTGGATCGGGCCCTGGGCAGAACCCCACCCTGACGTGCCCGTCTATGGTTTTCTCTCGGATGGTCGTGGCCCCGCCCCCAGCGTCGTCACATTACTTCTGGGTGACGTGCGTGCAGCACGCGCACACTCCATACACCAGCCGGGAGTCCCCCGCTGCGGCACAACACCGGACTTGGCAACCCTAGTCCAAGCTCACCAGCAAGGTTCGGGGGTTTCGCCTTCATGGAAGGTGCGAGGTGGGGGCACAAAAGAGCAAGGGTTCAGGGGTTTCCCAGGGAGGCAGAAGAGAATGCTCAGCCGTTTGCCAAATCTTGATTGCTCTTGACGGTCTAGACGAAGTTGCTCTTTTTAAACTCTTCCCATTCTGCAGAGGAATATTGAGTCTATTTTATAAGCTGATGTGGCTTCCCGCCTCCCCCAAAGTATCCTGGGAAATGTAGTTTGGTACTGTATGCTCTGAGAATCCTTTCATGGCAGCTGTGGTCCCAGCGCTTGTACCAAGCCTGTCTGTCTCTCTTTTCCAGGCAGGCATTGATGGTGAAGAAGATCACGCTCATGCCAAGGCCATCTTGCTGGAGATGGGGGAGTTCTTTCAAATCCAGGTATGTTTGCCCTCCCTCTCTTTGTCCCTGTGCCTCCTCTTGCAGAGCTCTGGTTTGCTGGGAAGCTGATGCCCTGGACAGGATTCTGAAATGGGGCTCAGGGCATCAAGGTTCAGAGTGGAAAACGATGCTGAAACCAGGAACCTGTCAGGACCCACAGTCAAACAACAGAGCACACGCTTCTTTGAAGGTTGTACTTTATTGCTAGCACTATGGTAGCATAGACACAGTCACTGTTAGGAATAACCACACCATAGAAAGCTGAGAGAGATACAGGGTATTCAAATGTGCCCCCCCCACACCACCTATGGGCCAATCGGCCTGATTACTGCGGGCAGGAAGGAGGACCAGGACAGTTAGAGCCGAGGCTGGGAAACTAAACTAGTCCCACGGTTAATTAATGGGAAGACACTACACAGGCCAGCTACAAGGTCAGTGATAACGAGGGGGAGAAGCGAAAAGAAAGGAATGCGGCAGCAACTGGCACACAGGTCATGAAAGCAAACCCAGGCCCATAAACAATATGGCAGCATAGCTGACAGAACCTTCTGCCGGTGCTTTCAGATGTTAGCCTGGCTGCCATGAGGGTTAGAACCTTTTTTTAAAACAGTGCTTGTTGAGGGGGGTCCAAAAATAAAATAGAACTCAGGAATACTGGACTAGATAGGAAAAGAGCAAGAGTCCATTAAGAACATAAGAGACGCCAATGTTGGATCAGGCCAGTGGCCCATCCAGTCCAACACTCTGTGTCACACACTGGCCAAAAATACCAGGTGCCATCAGGAGGTCCAGCAGTGGGGCCACCAGTAGTGCCCTAAAGACTAACAAAATCTGTGGCAGGGTAGGAGCTTTTGTGAGTCACCGCTCACTTCTTCAGATACTTCATGAGCTCACAAAAGCTCCTCCCCTGCCACAAATTTTGCTAGTCTTTAAGGTGCTACTAGACTCTTGCTCTTTTCTGCTGCTACAGTCAGACTAGCATGGCTACCCATCTTGGACTGGATAAGACCAATTACATTGGCAGACAGGAGACAGGTAGAGGAGGTTATTTAAGATGAATAAACCAGTGCCGGCTAATGCTTCTGCCTGCTAAGGGGAGCAGTGTACATGAATTGGTAGAAAGCACAAAAAACCGCTGGCTAAAGATAAACAAAAAATATATAAAAATAATATTTAATGCCAAGTTCAGTGATTCAGAAATATAACTGGAGCGAGACACACTGAAATATTTGGGACTTTATTTTTCTATCTTTCTGTATATTTGTTGATTCTTGCAAGAACACCTTGGCTTTATGTAGTTACATTTCTGAATCACTGAACTTGGCATTAAATATTATTTTTATATATTTTTTGTTTATCAGCGGTTTTTTGTGCTTTGTGCTAAGGGGAGCAGGCTTGAACTGGCGTGTTAAAGCAAGGGGGTGCAAATTTTGGATTTGAATAGTGGATCTTTTGCCAACATCTATCTTTGACTAGAAATTGCAAAATTGTGAATGGACTAGAGGAGGAAAAACTGCACGTTTTGTGACGAAGCATGATGAAAAACAGTCCTGTAGCATCTTGACTAAACTTTTGTTCTAGGCTAAGATTTTTGTGGAGTAGAGGCCTCTTTGTCAGATGCATGTAATGTTAAGAAACTGTTAGGTGTTCTTTATTTTTGAAAAAATCAGCAGTAAAATATTGGTATAGCATTATGATAACGTATCTATATATATCTGGTTCTCTGAATTTCCAGTTTTTATATTTTTAAGTGATTCTCTGGCCCTTTTCATTGTAGAGATATAAGGGGAAAGGCATAGAACTGCAACAAAAGGGGCTATAAACTTAACTCTTTTTAAAATGAAAGTTTGGGGTTTAGGGAACCTGCTAGGCATGTTGTTATAAAATTTTAACACGATTATGAGATTCTATTGCCAATTCGTTTTTTTTTAAAGCCCTCGGGTGGCAGGAAGGAAATAGCTGCCTTGGTGGACTGGGGCAGGGAAAACAGCATTGATGTTGGTGGGACAAGGACTACCCAGACTTACTCTTCCACGTGGGTGCCAGCCCAGCTCTACTGTGATTGTGCCCAAAACATTGCCGCTAAGCGGGTTTGGGAGAGGTCTCAGGAAAGACAAGGAAAGCCACAGGAAGCGTGAAAGCATGACGATGCTATGGGGAAACAGTGAGAAACACACACACACCCCGCTTCTTAACAGCATCCAAGCCAGGCCAAACAGCCTGCGTATAATTGACCACCAAGAAAGAGACCGAGAGAGACAAAAGAAGATGGTGCCTTCATAAGCAATAAAGTTCTTAGGCCAATGATTCTCACCAGCGTGGATTTAAATTAACCACTGGCATGTGACTCCCATTAAGCTGCTTGGAATGCTTAATCTCAAAAGTGGGGGAAAATTTTGAGCACATTGGGACTTGTTTTTCACAACCGATGGGAATCCAGCAATTCCAGGGGCTTAAATTTTAATATAAAGGTGGTATAATTTCGAATTGCATGATAAGAAATGGTCCTGACTTGGTTCTTAATGTGTCGGGATTGAACAAAATGTTCCGCTTTTAATTCTCCCCTTGTGGGAAGATGAGATCAATCCAGATCTCTGTCGCTGTGGGGCTGGATTAGTCCAAGTGGCTGGATGCTCAGGGAAAAGCGAGCATCTTTCCTAACAACATGCCCCCCCCCCCCACCTTCTGCTCTGATGCTCAGCAAGCGGAGGGTGAAACCCCAGAGCAATACAAACGACAATACAAACAACAGAGCTATACAAACAACAGTTTGGTGTAGTGGTTAAGTGAGCGGACTCTAATCTGGGAGAACCGGGTTTGATTCCCCACTCCTCCACTTGCAGCTGCTGGATGACCTTGGGCAAGCCATAGTTCTCTCAGAGCTGTCCTTGAAAAAGAGCCGTTTCTGTCAGAGCTCTCTCAGCTCCGCATACCTCACAGGGTGTCTGTTGTGGGGAGGGGAAGGGAAAGGAGTTTGTAAGCCACTCTGGGACTCCTTCGAGTAGTGAAGGGCAGGGTATAAATCCAATCTCCTCCTCTTCTTCTTTTACCTCACAGGGTGTCTGTTTTGGGGAGGGGCAGGGAACAGAGTTTGTAAGCCGCTCTGAGACACCTTTGGGTAGTGAAGGGCAGGGTATAAATCCAGTCTCTTTTTCTTTTACCTCACAGGATGTCTGTTGGGAGGGGAAGGGAACGGAGTTTGTAAGCTGCTCTGAGACACCTTTGGGTAGTGAAGGGCAGGGTATAAATCCAATCTCTTCTTCTTTTACCTCACAGGGTGTCTGTTTTGGGGAGGGGAAGGGAACGGAGTTTGTAAGCCGCTCTGAGACATCTTTGGGTAGTGAAGGGCGGGGTATAAATCCAATCTCTGGCCCTGGTTCGAATCTCGCTTTAGCCCAGAATTCACTGGGGGCTTTAAGAAGGTCTCCCAGCCCCCCCCCCCAATCTGCAATGGCAGAGGAAAGTGCCGTCAAGTCACAGCCAATTTGTGGTGACCCTGTGGGGCTTTCAAGGCAGGAGACGTTCAGAGGTGGTTCGCCATGGCCTGAGTTTCCTTGATGATATTGCCATCCAGGCACTAACCAGGACAAATCCGGCTTCGCTTCCAAGATCTGATAAGACTGGGTCAGCCTGGGCTGTCGGCAATACACACAGCATAACACTGTCCCTACAACAATACTGCGATGGTTGTTGTTACTATTATTGTTATTATTTATAAACCGCCCTCCCCCATAGAACTCAGGGAGGTGTACAGTTTGGTGTCGTGGTTAGGAACGCGGACTCTAATCTGGGAGAACCGGGTTTGATTCCCCACTCCTCCACAAGCAGCTGCTGGTGTGACCTTGGGTCAGTCATCAGTTCTTTCAGAGCTGTTTTCTCAAGGGTAGTCCTAAGAAGAGCTCTCTCAGCCCCACCTTCCTCACAGGGTGTCTGTTGTGGGGAGGGGAAGGGAAAGGAGTTTGTAAGTCGCTCTGAGACTCCTTTGGATAGTGAAGGGCGGGATATAAATCCAATCTCTTCTTCTCTTCCTCTTCTACATCATTGTTAAAAACATTCAAAAGGTAAAACTGTAGACAGCTACTTAAATTGTTTCTCTCCCTTCGAAGAGCGACCATAGGCCAGGCATGGCAATGTAGTATAAATTAATATCCAGTCAAAAATAGAAGATTGAAGTCAAAATGAGGAGGAAGTTCTTGTATTTTATTGCAATGACATACGGAAAACAGTTAGGCCAAAAGACCCATCAAAACTGACTGCTTTCTGAGCCCAACCAGGAAATACATGAAGTTAAATACTTAAAATGACATCATCATATCATCATCTCTACTACAGCAAGGCCCATTGTCACGCCCGGTTGAACTAGAAGCCCAGTTGAACAACTCTGTCTTGCATGCCCCGCAGAGCCGTGCTAGATCCTGCAGGGCACGGATGTCACCAGGTAGAGCATCCCGCCAGCTGGGTGCCAGGGCTTCGAAAGCCCTGGCTGTACTTAAGGACAGCCGGACATCTTTTGGCCAGGGGTCACCAGTAGGTTTTGATGTTCTGAGCTCAAGGCTCTGCAGGGGATGTCCCAGGAGAGGTGTTCCTGCAGATATGTTGGCCCCCGACCGTTTAGGAACTTGAAGGGCAACACCAGAACCTTGAAGCAGATCAGGTACTCAGCTTGGAGTCAGCGCAGCCGGCAAAGCACTGGTTGGATATGTGTCATTGGGGTACCCGCAGGTACCCGCGCGGCTACATTCTGGTAATTTCCGGGTCAGTTTCCTTTTTCTCTAAAAGAGCCTTGCGTGGAAATGGCATGAGCTGTGCTTCCTGGCATTTTATAACTTTTCTGTGCATTTGTTTCTGCTGACTGAAGGATAAAGTTTCATGCAGCTGGGGTAGCGAGCTCTAATCTGCAAAAGGTTCTGCCGTGATCATTTCGGTCAATTTATTTACTTTATATCTCGCCTCCCCCCCCCCCAACCATGGGGACCCAAAGCAGCTTACATTATTCTCTATTTTATCCTCGCAACAACCCCGTGAGGTAGGTTAAGCTGAGGTTGTGTGACTGGCCCAAGACCACCGGCGAGCTTCCAAGGCAGAGTGGGGATTTGAACCTGGGTCTTCTCGATCGTAGACTGACACCCTAACCACTACACTGTGGTAGCTGTCAGGCAGGAGTGCCTCGATAACAGCGTTTAATCGTTGCCTTTCGGTGCAAAATCTTATAAACGTAGACTCTCTGGGTCTTGGTTTCGCTTTTGTTTGGGCCGTTGTTGCCCCCCCCCCCAATGGAGAGGGAGCCCCCCGGCCTTTGGTCTGGCACTGCCAAGGTTAGCTCATCGTCTCTCTCTCTCTGCCTGCAGGATGACTTCCTCGATTGCTTCGGGGATCCCAACGTGACTGGCAAGATCGGCACTGACATCCAAGACAACAAATGCAGCTGGCTGGTAGTGGAATGTTTGAAACGGGCCTCCCCAGAGCAGAGGCGCCTTCTAGAGGTAAGGAGGGACTGAAGGTGGGCAGGGCACAGATCTTGCGGCCTTTCCCCCTTCTGCTCACAGACACCGGAATGACTCCTCGTGGGTGGAGTCGAGTGTATTCAGCAATTGCACTTCACGAACGTAGGAATCAGTGTTGGGTGTGCAGATTTCATGGGGTTAAAAAGAAAAGGTAAGCTTGTAGCCCTTAAGGTTGGAGCAATAGGTTTGTGTATGCCTGGTGCGGAGAGCCAGTTTGGGTAGTGGTTAAGAGCAGTGGACTCTAATCTGGGAGAACCGGGTTTGATTCCCCACTCCTCCACATGCAGCTGTTGGCGTGACCTTGGGTCAGTCACAAGTTCTTTCTATGGTGGAGCAAAGATTTGAACTCGGGTCTTTCCTGGTCCTAGTCCCTCCCTCTGACCACCACCCCACACTGGAATCTCTTGTAGTTCAACCCTTTTAATTACTAGACAAGGACCTGACTGAGTTACTGAACTTATTCTACAGCCAAAATGAAGGAGCTTCTCTCTTCTCATGAATAGATGAAGCTGCCTCGTACTCTTTCAGACCATCAGTCCATCGGAGTCACTGTTGCCTACTCGGACTGGCAGCAGCTCTCCAGGGTCTCAGGCTGAGGTCATTCCCATCACCTGCGACCCGATACTTTTAACTGGAGATGCCTGGGACCGAACCTGGGACCTTCCACATGCCGAACAGAAGCTCTGCCACTGAGCCATGGGGCCCTCCTGGTTTTGTTCAGACCTGTATGGAGAGGATGTTCCTTCCCTCCTATTTAGTATTTGGCTGTATTGAAAAACAAGCCAGGGGCTCAAAGGGAAATTGGCTGTCCTACCTTAGGTGCCAAAATGGTCTTTTGATCCATCCACACCCTTCACCAACAAGTAGCAACAGACACCTGCAAAGTGAATAGAAGAAGAAGAGAAGAGATTGGATTTATACCCCGCCCTTCACTACCCGAAGGAGCCTCAGAGTGGCTTACAATCCCCTTCCCCTCCCCTCCCCACTGCAGACACCCTGCGAGGCAAGTGGGGCTGAGAGAGCTCTTTCGAGGACTGCCCTTGAGCGAACAGCTCTGAGAGAACTTGTGACTGACCCAAGGTCACACCGGCAGCTGCGTGTGGAGGAGTGGGGGATCAAACCCGGTTCTTCCAGATTAGAGTCCGTGCTCCTAACCACTACCTAACCAAACTGGCTCTCAAGTGGCGGAGAGCCCTTAAAAAAAAAAAAGAGAGACAGGTTCATTTGGGGGAATATACGTCATATTCTCATCGCTGCCCATTTCTGTTTGCTGTGTTCCTTGGAACTAGCACAGTTTGGAATCCTGGAAGTCAGACGGCAGTAGGACGGAGGCCCCAGAAGTGTCTGCCCACCATACATCTGTCTTTGGGCTTCCCCATAATATGAGGACTCCTTTCGGCTGTTCCTGCTTGAAAGGCCTTGGAACATCTATTGGGTCTTTATTCCACCCTTCCTCCAGGGAGCCTGGGGTAACATATTTGCTTCTCTCCCCTTCCCCCCCCCCTAATTTAATCTTCTCAACAACCCTCTGAGGTAGGCAGAGACGGGCCCAGAGTCACCCACGCTGAGCTTCATGACAGAGTAGGGATTTGAACCCAGGCTTTCCAGCCCTAGTTTGACACTCCAACCCCTGCACCACACCTGTTCTTCGTATGCCTTCTGCCCATGCCGTGGCCAAGAGAGAGCAGTCTCACGATTAGTGTGTCAGACCAGGCAGGCCTGGATTCATATCTCCAGTCCTGCCGCAAGGCCCACTTGTGGGTGACCTTGCGCCAGCCCCTTGTTGGCTGGATCCACCACACAGGGTGGCTGTGGGGGTAAAATGTATTTATGCAGCACATTTTTTGCCCTGCTTTTGTTCCCAGGAGCTCAAGGCAGTATGCGGGATTCTCCCCTCCTCCCTTTTATCACAACCAATGCTCCCTCTAAAGCTGTGGAGTCTTGTGAGCAAAAGCTTCTACTTTGGGAGCCCCTGGCATTAAAGCTGTGAGCCAGCGATTTGGCTACTGCATAGATTAGTTTGCTCTGGAGCCGTCCTTCCTGAGCTAAAACAAAAATCTGTGAGCTGGAGGCTAAAAAACTGTGAGCTAGCTCCCACTTACTCAGCTTAGAGCGAACACTGATCACAACAACCCTGTAAAATTATTTTTTTTAAAAAATGATGCACAAGGATTTGAACCTGGGTCTCTGCAGGCCTAGTCCAACCTCCTGAACCAACTATGCCACATTCAGCTCCTTGGGGAAAAGGTGGGATGGTAATAATAATGGAAGAAGAGGAGATTGGATTTATACCCCGCCCTTCACTACCCGAAGGAGTCTCAGAGCGGCTTACAATCTCCTTCCCCTTCCCCTCCCCACAACACCTTGTGAGGTAGGTGGGGCTGAGAGCTCTCCTGAGAACTGACCTCAGAGAACAACTCTGAAATAACTCGTGAGTGACCCACAGTCACACCAGCAGCTGCACATGGAGTGGGAAATCAAACCTTCCAGATTAGAGCTGCACTCCTAACCTCTACACCAAACTGGCAGCCAAATGTTCCCCCTGGTTCAAATCTCGCTTCTGCCATTCTCTTCTACACTGTGGGTATCGCTGTGTTGTCCTACCTTGCAGAGCTGTTGTACGGATTCCCCAAAAAATGCACCTGAAACGGTTTGGATTTTCTAAGGCAGATCAGGACTGGCTTGTTAATTACCCCGGTCACGTTTCAGGCCAGCAGCGAGCGAAGGGCGAGAAAGAGAAGGTTTGTGTGCCGAAGCAGCCCAGCACGGCCTCACCTCGGTCTTAATTTTCCCCCCAGGAGAATTACGGCCAGAAGGATCTGGAGAAGGTGGCTTGTGTGAAGCAGCTCTACGAGGACCTGGGCCTGCCCGCTGTTTACCAGGAGTACGAGGAGAGCAGCTACCAGCGCCTCTCGGCCCTCATCAGCCAGCACGCCGTCCGCCTGCCCGCCCAGATTTTCTTCGGCCTGGCCCAGAAGATCTACAAGCGGCAGAAGTGACCGCCCTGTCCGTTAGCGGGGAAGCCAGATGGCGGCTTCCTGTTTCCGCCAAGGCCTGAGACCTCACTTAGTGCAATGGAGGGGGAGGGGTAACCTAGATACCGGTGCTTTGAAGGGGCTCTTTGTACTCAGGAAGGGGCAAATAGTTCCAGAGCTGTTCCGTGAAGCTCGTGTCTACACTGTAACCAGTCTGAGGTTTGTGGAGCTGTTGTAAATCCTCTGGTCTCTTGCTGAGGGATTCTCTTTATGCTGGGAATATTCGTGTTTTGAGAATTCTGGAGAGGGCAGTAGAGGGGTGGGGGGGGTTGAAGACTTTAGTTCTCAAAGGTTTTTTGTTTTGTTTCGAGGCTGAATGTGAAACGGGACTAAAGGTGCTGTCGAGAGGTTCTGGTTTTCCTTGGCTAGCTGGGGTGTGTGTGTGGCCACGCTGCCTCACCCCCGACCTGGGGTGGGCATTCTTCCCACACCTTGCACATTCTCAGAAATGGTAGTAGCTACTTCTCTCCCTGGAATGCAGGAGCATGTCTTTTTTTTTACAGCCTGAATGTCAACCGCCTGTCTTTCCTCTCTGAATAAGCCTATGATGAAACAGGCCACCCAGAAAGAGATCCCCCACCCCACAATATCCTCTGGGAAGGGGAAAAAAGGGTTTTCTTTCTCTTTGGATCTGTACCTCTGTTTCCCATGAACTGCCTGCCTCTTCCTTCTTTCCCTTTTTCTGGGGTCGGAGGCAAGACGACACCCTCCTTACCTGAACACAGGGGTCTCCTTCCCTCTTTGTTGTTGAGTTGGAAAAGGATGTGGCCTGCCCCTTTAACTGCCCATCCCGAAAACCAGCAGACTCCCGTCCATCTTAGGGGCCAGCAGGAGTATGGAAGATTCTCTCATCTCTTCTTGAGGAGCTGCTGGGAGAGAAAGTGATTCTTGGGAGGGAGGGGAGATTTCCTGTGCACCTGTCTGTTACTCTCTTGGTTAGGGGCCGTGGCAAAACCGAGCATTCAGGCTGAAGGAAGGCATTTCTAGTAATAAATTATTTTTGAAAACCTCGATTGTGTAATGCAGACTGTTGCACGTGGCTCAGCGGGAGGGGTGGACTGTGGTCTGAATTCTAATTGGGGTGGGAGTGGGCAAAGTTGAAAGGATGACTGAAATAAAACCTGTTTTTGGAAGAAGCGGGCACCAGGCCTGTTTGTGGGGCCGCTTGCCCCCTTCCCGATCTGAAAAATGATTGCGTATTTTTTCCCCTAGAACTCCTTTTATCATAAGAACGTAAGAGAAGCCATGTTGGATCAGGTCAGTGGCCCATCCAGTCCAACACTAGTCTGTGTCACATAGTGGCCAATCCGCTAGCAGGGCCTGAACTCCAGAAGCCCTCCCACTGTGGCCCCCCAAGCACCAAGAACACAGAGCATCACTGCCCCAGACAGAGCGTCCCAACTAGACCTGGTGGCTAATAGCCACAGATCGATCTCTGCTCCATATGTTTATCCAGTCCCCTCTTGAAGCTGACCATGCTTGTAGCAGCAGCCACTTCCTGTGGCGGTTAATTCCGCATGGTAATGTCTCTTTGGGTGAAGAAGTACTTCCTTTCAAGCCTCCTGCTCATCAATTTCATGGCGTGCCCACGAGTTCTTGTATTGCGAGAAAGGGAGAAAAGGACTCCTTTCTCTGCCTTCTCTGCCCCATGCATAATTGTGTAAACCTCTATCATGTTATACTTCATTTGTTGTTTCTCCAAGCTAATCCCAGTGCTATAATATCTCTTTGGGAAGTGCAGTGACCAGAACTGGACACAGTATTCCAAATGATTTATACAGGGGCATTTATACACGGATTTATACAGGGGCATTATGATACTGGTTGATTTGTTTTCAGTCCCCTTCCTAATCCCAGCTGTGTGAACAATGAAAGAAGGGGGGGAAATTCCCTGCACAGAAGTAACCCAATTTATTATTTTTTTAGCACAGCCAGGAGCAAATTTGTGTGTCCTTGTTAATTAGCTCTGCTGATTTTCATAATTAATTCTGTGGAAGAGGAAGGCTCTGCAGTCTCCATGGAAATCTTGTTGGGCTGCTCCTCCGGCATTTGCACGTCCGTTTCCCATGCCTGCCTCCGCAGCCATAAGGACTAGCATCTTCCTCTTTTAATAAATTAAAGCTGCTATGGATGGGATGCAGGATGTGCAGTTTCTGTGTATCTCTGGTACACTGACTAACCTCCGATCAGGCAGCCTGGAGGTACTTTGGTTGAGGGACAGGTGTGTGTTGGGTAAGACACCTTTCCACTGTGTTACCTGGACGTGCTCAAAAATTCGTAATATCCTTTTAGTCAGGGGTCCCAACACAGTACCTGTGGGCATCATGGTGCCCACCAAGAGCCAGTTTGGTGTAGTGGTTAGGAGCGCGGACTGTAATCTGGGAGAACCGGGTTTGATTCCCCACTCCTCCACGTGCAGCCAGCTGGGTGACCTTGGGTCAGTCATAAGTTCTCTCAGAGCAGTTCTCTCAAGGGCAGTTCTCGGGAGAGCTCTCTCAGCCCCACCTACCTCACAGGGTGTCTTTTGTGGGGAGAGGAAGGGAAAGGAGATTGTAAACTACTCAGAGACTCCTTCAGGTAGTGAAGGGGGCGGGGTATAAATCCTCCTCCTTCAGAAAGTGGGTGGGGCTTTTGCCTAGCAAGGCTTCCGGTTGAGCACTGTGGAGATTTGCTTGGCTCTGCAGAGTTTTTAAATACATTAGTTTGGTGGCAGCTGCCACCATAGCACAAGGGTCTTCACTGTGTGACGGAAGGTAAGCGCTGGCAGCTGTTTTGTGGCTGGCTCCGCCTCTGGTGGCAACCCTTTCTTGGCTGCACCCACCACGTGTGTCAGAATTCCAAAGTTGCCCACAGGCTCAAAAAGGTTGGGGACCCCAGCTCTTAGGGGGGCATGTCTATTGGGAAGAAAAGAAGAAGGGATGGGATCTATACGCCACCCTTTGCTACCCAAAGGAGTCTCAGAATGGCTTACAATCTCCTTTCCCTTCCCCTCCCCACAACAGACACCCTAAGAGGCAGGTGGGGCTGAGAGAGCTTCAAGAACTGCCCTTGAGAGAACTTGTGACTGACCTAAGGTCACACCAGCAGCTGCTCGTGGAGGAGTAGGGACTCAAACCTGGTCCTCCCAGATTAGAGTTTGCACTCTTAAATCAGTACACCAAACTGGGGCATATGGAGGGGAAAGGACTGCCAGACCAAGATGGAGGCTTAGTTCTTCAGAGGTGTGCCCCCACCAAGTGTCAGAGCTATAGCTCTGCAAGGTAACTGGCTCCACCTCTGCTGTGAAGTTCAGTGGTTGAGCCTGACCTACGTTGCAGGGTTGTTGTAAGATTAAAACAGGGAGGAGATTAACTGTGTTTCCTTGTGTGAGTGCCTTGAAGGAAGGTTGGGATAAAGATATGTGTGGGACACGAGGTGGCAGAGGAAAGGGTTTTCTTGGCAAGTTGGATTTTTGTGCATCCCCCCCCCCCCGGTATTGAAAAAATTGTGAGTCAATTTAGGCCTGAAATGTTACGTTTGCATCAATGCTTCCAATGCGTGGGACAGGCAGGTGCGCAACCCCCCCCCCCTTCTGCCGCTAGATCACATGAAACAAACACAGTTCCACGTGCCTGAGGCTTATTTCCCAAAGGGAGATTTCAGCCAAAGCCTAATTTCTAAGGGGGGAGGGGAATAAGAGAGGAGGGGTTCAAATAGCTACCCCTGAGGTGAGTGAGGGCTCTGTGCCTCTTCTGTGGTCACTGCGGCTAAAAGACTGACACACCCCCCCTTTTCAGAGGCTCCAGTAGCCTGCCTCTGCTGTGTTCTGCAGCCTGGGGATGGTCATGCTAGCCAGCTCAATCTCATCAGATCTTGGAAGCTAAGCAGGGTCGGCCTTGGCTGGGATTTGGAAGGGCAACCTCCAAGGAATACCAGGGTCCTGATGCAGAGGCAGGCAATGGCAAACCACCTCTGAAATGCCTCTTGCCTTAAAAAAACAAGTCTCGCTCGCCACCTAGTGGTGCATAACGCTAAAAGAGCTAGAACTTCTCGCTGCCGGACAATCTTAGGCTCTCCTAGCAATAATACACACACTGCCATGCAATAATAATAATAACAACCTCAAAGGAGTGTTGTAAAGGCTCAGAAGAATGGTCAAGCAATTGGAATGCTCAGAGTCATTTCATGACTGTTCAGCGTTCTTACTATTTTTGTAGTACTAGAATAGAATTTTTTGGGGCGGGCAGAAAGAGATGGCCTGCTTTTGGGGGCAGCTGCACCCCCAGCTACAGTTTGTAGAAAGCTGCAATATAAATTGGTGTGGCAGGGATTGGTAGGTTTTAGTAAGCCC